TCCCTCTCTCTCTCTTTGATTTCTTTCTTTTTCTTCTTCTTTTTTTTTTTTTTTTCCCCTCTTCGGTAAAATCTCGAAAACTTTCTCATAACCACGGCCGGGAAGAAGTTTCGTACTTTTTATCGGTCACTTCTTCGAGTTCTCGCGGGAATTTAATTTCTCGTTTTTTTCTTTCGAAGCGGCGAGGATGGAATGCGATTGAGAAGAACCGAAATTAGAACGGTAGCTGTAATTATCGCGCTCTTCATTTTGATAGAATACGTCGTGTAAAATTTTTGTTATACTCGATACGTGTACATTGTTACGGTATCTTGTATTTAAAATAAAATTTAAAAGATTAGTTAAAATTAAATGAAGTGTTTTTTTTGGTCAAAATTTGAATTTGATGGCCTATTGTGAATTTATGAATTATATGAAGAAATAAAATATGTTTGGAAATAAATAAATATTATTTAATAAAATTTATAATAAAAATATTACTCAGAATATTCGTGATTTTTTCTTATGTTTAAATATGGAAGAAATGTAATTACTAGAAAAAATATAAATTACTAGAAATATAAATTTATCGTATTATTAATATCTAATATATATCTAATATATAAATCTAATATATAATCTATCTAATATATAAATCTAATATATAAATTGATCTATATTTAATATATAAATTGATTTAAAATTGTATAAATTGTATTCGAAGATTTTAATAAAAATGAAGAATTTGTTAAAACTAAGATCGATCTAAACTTATGCGTTTTCGTAGGACAAGTTTTCTTCGATTCCGCGACGGCTAGTACGAAATGCTATATAACTTTCTCGACATCGAATTTCTCAACTCGACAAATACTATTTCGCATAATACGTAACACTCTGTGTCACCGTAAAAAGGGCAATACATATGTGATACTACAGCTGTACGAACAGTTTGTATCGTAACAGATTTTCCTGATTTATTCGGCCGCGTAGAAAGTGAATTCGCGGAGAGTGTACTCAAAGTTTTCGTATTCGTTTCACCAAATCGTTGCACCGCAACAACAATCGTGAGCGCGGTTTTCGAAACTGACGAACGTGATTTCTAAACGCATCGTTGCGATAGAATGTTATCTCGATCGACGTTAATATCGATTTTTTCCCTATATCACGTGATCAATAAGAAATAACTAGATAAAATTTCCTAAAGAAAATGATAAAATTTATATCATTACGAAGAAAATCCAGTCGTTTCAATTTTGTCGGGGAAACGATATTTTCTTTGGCCTTACTTTGTATAGACTGTGCTGCCAGCGATTCCTACCGAAGATCTTCAATGTCACGTACGCGTCGATAACGTGAAAATCCGCGTGGGGACGCGAAACGCGCGTGCGGCAGGCATGAACGCGGCAACTTCGTGGAAAATTCGCGGAACTTCCCGGAAAGCAATGAGTCGTGACAATTTCAACGCGTAACGATCGTTAAACGACCGTAGGGTATGTGCGTGTATGTGCGTAGGGCGAGACGGATGGACGTAATAAAGAGGCGAGCAACGGAGAAACGAGACGACGGAAAGACGCGGTGGAAGAGAGAAGGTTAATGTTGCAGCGAGATGGATAAAGAGAGAAAAAGTGCGCGACAGAGGCGGCATGTGTGAGAGAGAAACGGATAGAGAGACGGTCGACTGTGCGAGAAGGAAAGTGCTATAGCACGCGACCTTCACGAAACGTCAAACGTCTATGCTGTTTAGCATGCAGGGCCGTACGATTGAAAGAGGTTTACCCTACGCTCTCGCCCTGAATTATCTTTTTTTTCCTCTTTCCCCCCGCGAGAACTAAATTATCGTTGCTTACAAATTCAAGCTTCGCAATATTTTTCGAGTCGTAACAAAAATCATATTTCCTCACGATATTAATTTCGTGTGGTAACGAAATGGCGAAGATTTCTGACAAACGAGAAATCATACGAGTTTTAGAAGGTAACAACAGATGTTGATCGACTTTATCATTAACGGACAACTGGTCTCGCGTGTCAGTTAAAATTGAATTGATCGTGGGCGAGCACGAGTCACAGGAATTTCGAACTGTCAATAAACAGACGTTTCGCGAAGTGATTTCAAGATGCAGAGAAACGATGCGATAACATGATGACACGCGAGATCAATCGTTCGATTCTCGTGGTTCGAACGAGAATAATCTAGTTTATTCCCCGTGAAAATTCTTCCCTATTTGGCATTTAATTTTTCCAATTTTTATTATTTTTATTATTTTTATTATTTTTTTTTTTTTTTTGATCGCTCACCCAAAAAGCAATGCTCACCAATCGCCCACTTGACTGGCATCGTCCTCCAAAAATCTCGGCTTACTCTTCCGACGCACGTGTGATATTTTCGTCCCGCCGTTGGCGGCTCACGGAACACGCACTCTTTGCCTCACGTTTCGCTTTAACACCAATCGAGACTCGTTTCGGACAAATCACGGTCGCCTCGCGTTCTTTTCCTCGTTCGATCCAGCATGTTGTTCGTGATTCATTTTTTATACATAACATTCTTGTTTGCAACGAACAATAGTAAACTCACTCGTCGCGTGCTTGATTGCGCTGCCAAGTATAGGTTAGGTAGCTCGGTAGGTTAGAAAGCTTATAACATACTGCCAGCATTTCGGAAGCTGTCACCGCTGATATTTCTCTGGCTGTCGGTGCAAAATACATCGTTGTTGCGTTGACGAAGTGTTTACGCTGTCTCACAATGCATATTGCCGACGCACTTCTCGATCTTTCACTCTCCGATCTTCGACACTTTGCTCGAATCGCGTCCCGGTCACGAAATTCTACGGGAATCTTCCTTTACGTCAATGCTGGTTTTAATCAGTGACACGATCGACCGACGTTGCTTTCACGAGTGCGTTTAACTTTTGTTTACTTTTCTCCATTCGAACACGCCATTCTGCCCCGATATACTTTTCCGATTAATTCGCGTCACGCTACGTACGATCGGAATATGCATACTTTTACCAATCGACGAATAATCGACGATGAAATATCGATAGTATCGCACACTGTCGAAACGGTTACGTTATTCACTTTTCACTTGTCACGTGTCTTCATGTACCGATGCGCGGCGTAACGAATTTTCCCTGCCCAGCCTATCGCTCGTGCCAAAAACGTTTCGAATCGGTTTTCAGAGCGTTCAAAATGATTCACGCGTGTTAATTAGTGCGGACGATTTAATCGCGACCATATACATCATAAACACTTTAGTTTGTACGATGACACAGACAAAGAACGCTCGTGCTCAAAAGAAGTGAAAAACTTGCCGAATCATAAGACACCGTTCGCGTACGAATTCTTAAAAAATGATTGCCAAAAGTTAAACAGCACAAGGTCGATCAACGTCGAATGTGGTAGTGATACGTTGCAAGAAACGATTCACGATACACTGATGTACGCGCCACGGTAACTGTCAACCGTGGGATTTCACGTGTCTCGGGCGCGTTGTTCCTACGACAGAGACGTTCTCATGGCAAATCCAATGATCTGGTCGAGGATGCAAAGTGCGTGTTCCGTGTCCTGCCGTGCTTTTGTTTATTTTTTTTTTCGCGGATCAGACGATGAGACAGAAGAAAATCGTAGTTGACGCGGTGCTCTTTATCCATCTCTTTTTCGTTTCTTTTCTTTCCGCTTTTTTTACGAATAACGCTTGTGACAGCAAGCAGCAGCGGCGACAACAACAACAACAGTAGCAGTAGCAGCCAGTGTCGTGAAATGTAACAGGAACGGGCACGAACGAGGAGAAAAAA